ACTGGGTGTTATGCACAAACAATGAATCATGGAACACTACATCAAAAACTAATGATGTAATGTATGGTGATTAATATAACAATAAAAAAATTTAAAAAAATGTGTTTTTGCTTCTGATTCCAGAGACATTTAACCTTTTTCAAATCCTGCATTCTATTCATATTTTTTCTCTGGGGACTTATAGATAATAGTATGCTGTTTGATTCTCCTAATTTCTCATGACTTTGTTTTTCAAGGTTATTCTGCCTAGAGAAATTCTTAAGGAGGCAGCAAATCAGAAGAAAAGGGAAATCAGGAAACGATGGTCCCGACTTTATTCAATCTCATTTCCATCCCCCAAAATCTCTTTATACTATCAGTCTCTCTCTGGGTAGCTTATACCATTGCCTAATTAACCTTCCGATGATGGTACTGTCCCATTCAGAAAGCCCGCGGTGCTCCCCATTGGCTTTAGGAGGAGCCCCTCACCCTGGGGCTCGAGGTCCCCCACTGGGCTCAGCCTGTCCTCTTTTATAGCCTCATCTCCTGCCAGCCCCTTGCATTGACCATCTCCCTGGCACTCTGCCCAGGTATTCTCTACATTACCTCCTTGCCTGCCTTGCCTAGTGGGAGCTTTGTTCACGAGTCTAAGGCCTGGCCCTTTAGGCACTCAGGAAATGTTTGCCACATGGATGAACTAAAGTCCAAGTAGAAGCTAGAGCTGGTCCTAAAGTCCTTTAGTCCATGAGGCTTTGCTTGGCTACAACTTTCCTGCCAGGTTCCTCCCTGCTGTGTTCCATCCTTCCCTTACCCCAACCCTCTGTGTGCCTTGTGATAGACCCTTAACTTCTTCTGTTACGGTCTTTCCTGTGTTTTGCTGTCCTCCCTGCTAGACTGTCCATTCCTCTATGACAGAAGCAGTGCTTTCCCCAGCTCAGACTCACCCACAGTGGAGAGCAGAGCCTTGGCCATTTCTGAACCTAATCTGCAGCAGCGCCTCACCTGTGTGGGGAGGGAGTGGAGTCTTGATCACCACATTCCTGCTCCAGGCCCTGCTGGAGGTGGTAGAGAACCCTCAGTCCCACATGGCACCCCTAAGGCCAGTCAGTGGGTCCTGGAAGGGACCCCAGTGCAATTAGCTCGGCAGCTACTACCCAGGAAACTCCTGGAAGCCTCTGTCCTCCTCCCTCCTGTCTGTGTGCCCCTGCCCACCATGTCCTGTTCTGTTTCCAGGGGCAGGAGCAGGATGTGAGCAGAATCATCCAAGCCCTAAATGAGTGCCTTGCTGCCCTTCCTCGGCAGCTGCTCCAGGACGTCTGTGGCATTGGAGTGTCAGGACAAATGCATGGAATCATGTTTTGGAAAACAGGCCAAGGTATGCTGGGCCCTGGGGATGATTTTGTGCTCCTAGCAATCACTGTGGGATAGTAAAGTGCTGCGGAGGACTCTCCTCTGAAGGATCAGGTCACCCTGAAGTGGGAACGAAGTGGCCTACACTGCGTCTTGTATTTTGTGTGCATCCTTTCTTGTACAAATGTGTAATGAGTAAGTGAACTCTCCACTCACACACTGTCCATAAATAGGGTGAGGGAAAAGCGAGTTCTCTCAGATTCTCTGTAGGATTCAGTGGAGTGGATTTTCCACAACTTTCTCTTTATTTCTGTTGGTGTCTCAGAGCATCAAATGCAGACAACTAAAGATTAGTGTAGTTGAAGGAGATGCCAAGACACAGAGGAAACTTGAATTTGGGCATAATGTTTGTTGTTTGCCATAATCACAGATGTTTGTGATTTTTAAATTTCAGGGCATCCTTTTTATGGGCTCAAGGTGCTGAGTATTATTTAGTTGGTCGTCTTCTATCAGGTCTGCCACATGCAGAAGTAGGTGACCTGTTCTGTTTGGCCTCCAGGAGGAGCTTATTAAGCCAGCAAAATAACAATGAGTACTTTACATGCTTGGTGCTGGGCTAAAGGTGTTAACCTGTATGATCTCATCAAACTTTCCCAACATCTTTATGATGTAGGTTACATTATTGTCCTCATTGTGCAGATGAAAAGTAGAGGTTCAGAGAAGTTAATATACTCAGGGTCAAATGGCAGCAAGTGGTGACTCCAGCTTTTGAACCCAGGTTGGTCTGACTTTAGACACTGAGCTCTTAAAGGCCTCTAGGAGGACCAGAGCTGTAGGTGGGTGCAGTAGTTCAATGAAGGGAGGAACTTCCCAAAAGAATGTCCAAGGAAGGATTAGGATGCTATGAGTTCCTGTTACAGCAAGCATTAAAAAGCCTTTTTTTAACTATGAAAAAATTCTATACAGACATAAAGGTAGGGAGAATATTATGAATCGACACATACCCATCACCCACCTTCAAAGCTTCCAACATTTTACGGCAGGTATTTTAAGTAGAGGATGGATGGCTACTTTGTGGGCTGTAGTTCAGGGGATTTGAACATTGGATTCACCACTTTTTCCCTGGAGAGTTAGTGATTTCAGTTCTCCTGGGCCAAGTGAGTGGTGACCTGCCTCTCAGCTGTGTGATAGATGTCTAGCGATGCATCCTTTGATCAGTCCCCAGGAGGGCCTGGGTGACTGTAGAAGCCAGTGCAGGATCTCTTGCTCCTTCCCTCCTTCTTGTCTGCCTGTTGTTAGGCTGTTTGGGAACCACAGGAGCTGCTTGGCTCTAATTAGTAGTTGGAGAAGGCTGATTAGGGTGTTAGAGCTGGCCTCTCAGAGGGAGTCTAGGTTGTAAAAGCTTTTTAAACTCCTTAATTTTGCATTAATGAGAATAAATGTCCTTTTAATACTAAAATCCTTCCCGAAGAAGACAACAGAGATCTAAAGATTGTGGTCTGGTCATACACCTCCCTTTCTGCCAGTTTCCTGTACTCTGTAACAACCACACAAACCATTGCCCACATTGTTGGAGAGAGCTGCTTAATATTTCATTGAGCCAGCCCACATGCCTCCTTGTTTTGTTTTCTGCTTCTGGGAAGGAGGGAAGCCACTCTTTGACGATGATAATACTTGCTTAGTAGAGTAGAGTGAATCATATTTGGAATCAAGTCATTGTGTTTTTAATGGTGGCCATAGATTAGTTTGGCTTCGGTACCTACAATATATAAGGCTCCATGCTAGACCCCACGGGAGACATAGATACGAGCAGACGAAGCCCTCATCCTCCAGGGCACAATCAAGGCCGTCAACACAGACAGGCACTAGTGAGCTGAGCAGAGAGCTAATTGCTTCCACAAGGGCACAGGCCAGCCAGCGGGCAGAGAGGAAAGGCAGTGAGAGTGTGTTCTGAGAGGCCTGTGGTTACACCTGTAGACTCCATTTCCAGGCTCAGTAATAGCAGGAGAGAAGTGGGGATCATAAAACCAAGCTAAAAGGCAAGCAGCTGACTAGGAGAAAACATTTGCTAGTGTGAATATGGGTACATAGTAAAAAACCAAGAACAAAGAAAAGACAAGTGGCTCTGTGGAAAATGGGCAAAGGATACCGAGACGGACAGTTCTAGAAGAGGAAATACAAGTGGCTAATAAGCACGTGAAGAGATGCTCAATGTCATTAGTAATTAGGGCAGTGCAGATGAAAACAACAAAGAGAAATCATTTTCCACCCACTGGATTATAAGAAATCAAAGTCTGAAAATGCCAAGAGTTGGCAGATGGGGTGGAAACTTGGTTTTTAAAAATATGGTTGGTAGTAGTGTAAATTAGCATAGCCGTTTGGAGGGCAGTTTGATGGGGCCTGTTAAAAATAAGAGAGCTGCAATGACTCAGCAGCTCTGCTACTGGGAGTCTGCTTGGGAAAATTACTTTCACATGGATGTGCGTAAGGTTGCCTACTCACGGTTGTTCTTTGCCTTCTTGTTATGGTAGTGAAAACTGGCATTTAACCTCAGGGGAATGGATGGATAAATGTTGGTGTGCCCGTGCTGCAGAGGGATATGCAGTAGTTAGAAAGAATAAAGTGCATTCATGTATACTGACATGGAAGGAACTCCAGAACATTTGTTGGATGATAAAAACAACGCCTAGAGAAAGAAATACAGTATAGTGCTATTTGTTTTTAAAAAACAGACAAAAACAAAATAAAGTCAACCAAACCAAACCCAATATGTTGTGTCAGTGTAAAAACTTTATTTAGATGGTTACCCACAAGGACTAACGGACAGGAAGGGGGCTGGGACCCAGGTGGGGATATAAGCAGGCCTTTGGCTTTATCTGTAGTATCTGAACATCTTATACTGAGAATTATCTTTAATATCTGAACATCTCATACTGAGAATCCTGGTTCTACCACTTAGTAGCTATGTGACCTTTGGCAATTTTTTTTTTAACTTTTCTGTGCTTCATTTTTCTTGTACAAAGGGAATAATTATCATACCTATGTGATAAGGCTATTATATAGATTCAGTGAATTAATATTTTTGAAGTGCTTTGAACAGTACCTGGTACATGGTAAGAACTCCATATTTGTTTTATAATACAAACAAAATAAAAAATGATAGTCCAAATTTTTTTTTCTTTGAAAAAGGACCAGAGTTTTGAAGCAGATACAGGGGTTGAAAGAAAGCTGCAGAGATCCAGGTTTAGGGCTGGGATAAGAATCCAGCTCGAAGTTTAAGTACAGATGTAGTATACAGTTAAGAAGGTGCACTGCTTTGAGGAGTCCTTCACCCCAAGTAAAACTTAATGTGCTTTAGGTGCATGATCTGTAACGTGCCTCTGCTTTTCTGGCTGTCGGCCAGGGATACCAAACAGAGACTGACAAGATCCCTTAGATCCTTTGCCCTGACCCATCTACCTGCAGCATGTGTCCCTAGACATTCTTATGGCCCACTTCCTTACTCCATTCAGGTCCCTCCTCCTTAGAGAGGACTTCCCTGATCACCCTCCAAATATCTATCACTGCTGTATATTTCTTCACAGCAATGAAAAGTATCTGGTATTATATATTTGCTTGTTTATATTCTATATCCCTAGTGTATAAGCTTTATGAAAGTAGTGACTTTTCCTTGATCATTGCTATATTCTCAGGGACTAGAACCAGTGCCTAATACATATTAGATATTTAATACACGTGTCATTCAATCATGCAAGTATGAATGAATGAATGGATGGATGGATGGATGTTTCATGGCCTGGAACCCAGGGGGGAGGGGCAGTTAAGTCTCTTTGATTCTTTGTTTTTTTAAGATTTTATTTATTTATTTGACAGAGAGAGACACGGCGAGAAAGGGAACACAAGTGGGGGGGAGGGAGAAGCAGGCTCCCCGCCGAGCAGGGAGCCCGATGTGGGACTCGATCCCAGGATCCTGGGATCATGACCTGAGCTGAAGGCAGATGCTTGACAACTGAGCCACCCAGGCGCCCCTCTTTCTTTGGTTCTTAATGAATGTATTTATAAGAAAATGTAATGGTTTTGGCTCCCAAATCTGGGACTTGAGATCAGACATAGCCATGAAACTGCTGCATGTGGGGCTTTGCCCTGCTTTGCTTCATGGCAGGCATTGTTCTCATCTGGAGGCCACCTCATGTCACATGGAGCCAGATTCCCATCTCTGTCCATTGGGTCTGGAGTGTTCTTGCTGCTGATAACTTTTCTCAACTGGCACTTAATGTCAACATTCTTTTCCCATTCTGCTGAAGTGGTTATATTAATATTGTGTGGAAGTGTGAGAAATCTCCCTTGTATGAGGAGAGGAGAGAACAAAAGATATGTAAGGGGGGGGTGTATTCTCTTTCTTTAAGACTGTTGGAAGTCCTAGACCATGGACAGAGTTTAGAAGGTAAAGGTTCATTTTCATTATTATCATCACTAACATTAATTGAGTCCTCACTGTGTCAGATACTGTTCTAAATGCTTTACATGTGTTAACTCATTTAATACACACAACCCTATACACACAACACACACAACACGCCCTAACCCTAACTCTAACCCTTCCCCTTGCTACTAGTTTGACAGCAAAGTCAACACATGGCAGGAAGAGATACCAGGACCCGGGAAAGAGTTATAAGTGTCCTCCACCCCTGGACTTCCAGATACACTTGCCACCAAGCTGCTGAACTAGCTTAACTCTTGGCTCTCTCCCCCAAGATTGGTTTCAGAAGAATCGTAAGAGAAAAACACCAAGGAAAGGGGAGAACACTGTGAGAGAACCTAGGGTGATGGGGCTACTTGGAGTTGGTGTATGTGGGTTGATGGTTTGGGTGTGGGGCAAGAGGCAACCAGCCTTGCCTGTGGGAGGATAAGGAACTGCTCGTTCCCCTGGATTGTCATGGCTTTGGGACAAGCAGCACCTTGTCCATAGCAAGGTGTCTTCAGGAATAAAATCAAGGCAGTGGAGAAAAGCAGGTGTCTCTCCCCAAATCACAGGGCTGGTGACCTATAATCTAAGGATCCTCAAAACATTGTTTCATCCTGGGGGGCAGAGTGGAAGCCCTGACCTGAAGAGATGTTTTTCAGGGTGGGATGGGTTAGCTGTGGATTCACCCCAGGTCTCATCCATCCTCCCCAGACCTTTGGGAGCTGGCAGGGACTGAGGTCTGGCTCATTTACACTGCCCGACAGAATAGCCAATACTCCCAGAACAAAATGAGTTCAGGGACCAGGACAATAAGACATTTCAGGTTCACAGCTGTTTCACAAGAAAAAAAATTGTGCTGGGTGATTTGATGGAGATTGTTTTTTAAGATTTATTTTTTAATTTATTTTAGAGAGGGAGAGAGGGAGAGGGAGCAAGTGTGAGTGGGGAAAGGGGCAGAGGGAGAGAATCTTCAAGCACACTCCCCGCTGAGCTCAGAGCCTGATATGGGGCTCGATCCCATGACCCATGAGATCATGACCTGAGCTGAAACCAAGAGCTGGATACTCTTGGAGCCACCTGGACACCCCAGATGGAGATTCTTTCAGAAGCAGAATTATTAGAATGGACGGTCTAAGAATTTAAAATTAGCCTGACGTACATACTAAAATATATGAAAGGAGAATATTAGCAAGAAGCAATAAGAAGAAAACATAAAAAAAACAAGCAGAAATATTAGGTATAAAAAATATAATGGTTGAAATAAAGAATGTAATAGATGGGATTAATAACAGAATGGATAGAACTTCAGAACAAATTAGAGAATGAAAGATGCAAATTTAGGAAACCTCTCAGAAGGAAGAAGAAAAGAACAAAGAAGTAGAAAATATAAAACAAAAGGTAAGAGATATTGAAGATACAAGTAGAAGCACTAGCATTTGACTACTAGGAGATCCAGAAAAGGAAAAATAAAAGTGGTAGAGGAGGAAATATTTGGAGAATTAATGGAGAAAATTTACTTACCATAACTGACAAAATAAGATGTAACAGTCTGGACCAAAGGTGCCCATAGAATGTCAAAGAAGAGAGAGAAGGAAAACCTCATAGCTGGATATGTTATAGTGAACTTTTTAGGATTTCAGAGACAAAGAAAATTCCAAAAGCTTACAGAGTGAAAAACCAGATCCTATATAAAAATTAGCAGCAGATTGACTAGATAGTTGTCAGCAGCCACATTCTATGTAAAAATGCAGTGGAATCATATTTTGGTTTTCTATTGTTGCATAACAGACTACCTCCAAAACTCCATGACTTAAAACAGCAACTATTTTATCATATCTTGTATGATCTACTTCTACATATTGGATTGAGCTGCTCTACATGGGGTTGACGGAGGCTGCCTGGGAGTATTCACCTCATGGACAGACTGGTCTGGAGGGTTCCAGAGTGGCTCTACTCAGTGCCTGATGCCTTGGTGGGGAAGGCTGGAAGGCTAGACTCAGCTGAGGATGAACTGCTAGATGCCTGCATGTGATTTCTCCACATAGTTTCTCCAGCGTGGTGGCCTCAGGGTAGTGGGACTTCTTACATGGTGGCTGGCTTCCCCCAGAGTGAGTGCTCCAGGAGGCTCTGGTGGGAGCTGCAAGTCTTCTTATGACCTAGCCTTGGCAGTCCTAGGATGTCACTCCCCCCACATTCTCTTGCTCTCGCAAATCATCAAGGCCAGCCTAGATTTGAGGAAAGAGGATTTAGACTCTACCCCTTAATGGGAGGAGTAGCAAGGAATTTGTGGCAATCTATCACAGATCTACAAAGTGTTTTTAAGTATCGAAGAAAGGGAACTTAGAACCTAGAATATCACAGCCATCCTTCAAAAATATTCTGAGCCATGTAGGCTTCTAGATGCTTTGCCACAGAACGAACTACACTGGAACTAGTTTGGGGTAAAATATTTAAATAAGAGCAGAGGAAAAAAAATCTAGATTTTAAGAGATAAATGAGATAAATTAAGTAAAGATGGCCAGATTCCTGAGTAAAGTTTGATGTCTAAAAATCAATTAGCTAAGACCAAAGGAAAAGAGAAAATATATCCATCATCATCCAGAATCAAGTCTAGCTAATATTATCATGATAAGGGTTGGAAGGACAGAGACCAGGGGACTTGAGTGTGCCAAATTTCTTTTCTTACAGAGTGGGAGGGGATATAATATCAACTTTAAAAAAATGAATTAAAGGGAACATAGAAGAAGTGGGATAAATGGAGGGAGTAGGTGACTTGGCATGAGTCACACAGCCATTGGTGGTGGAGCCAGGTGTTAAACCCAGGTGCTCTGATATCAGAACCCATGTGCGTGAGTGAAGCATTATCATTGCTGTAACCTCACTAGCAGAGTGGTCTCAAGGACATGTTGCTGCTGGTCAGGTGTTCTTTTCTCTGTTTTTGGTAATTTCCTTTGTTCCAGGCTGTGAATGGACAGAGGGAGGGCCCTCTCCTGTGTTTGAGCCCGGAGCCGTGAGCCACCTGGTCACATGGCAGGATGGCCGGTGTAGCAGTGGGTTCCTGACTTCTTTGCCCCAGCCAGAGTCCCATCTCAGTGTGGCCTCAGGGTTTGGCTGTGCAACCATCTTCTGGCTTTTGAAGAATAGGTATGGACAACTGATTTTTGAATCGGGTGCTGAATTTCCAGGGAAATGAGAGTGGCCAGGGGACTGTACCTCCAGCCGGTCAGCATCACTCCATCTGCTGGAGCATCCCTCAGTGAGGTGGCCTGGCACAGGGTATGGTCGCAAGACCTAGACTTGGTCTAGAACTGCTTCATTTCTCAGAAGGCTCTTTGTTGGTTATCTGATTCTAAACCAGAGGGGGAAAGAAAAAGGCAGAGAGGGCAAGGGACTTGCCAAGGGTTCCATGGTAAGTTCATGGTGGGGTCAGGGCTGCTGAGAACAGCCAGTGTCCTGCTTTCTCAAGCGTGGTGCATCCTCCTCTGAGACTACTCCCTGAAGGCCAACCCCAGCCAGCTTTGCTCTGAGTGGCTGGGAAGTCCTCACCCTGGGAAGTTCAGCATGTGGGGTGCTTGCTGCCACCCAGCTACGCCATGTCTAGTCCACTGCCTGCAGCTAGGTGGAGCACAGGCTTTCAAGTTGCTATTAGACTACATTGAATTGTTTTTGATATGAAAACTAGCCCAGAGTTCCTGAAGTCCTACGATGCTGCTGGCACCATCCATGACTATGTGGTTGCCATGCTGTGTGGCTTGCCAAGATCACTGATGTGCGACCAGAATGCTGCTAGCTGGGGATATTTCAACACTCAGAGCCAAAGCTGGAACTTGGAAATGTGAGTATATCCTTGCAAGCTGGCTCCAGGCTAACGGCCAGAATCTCGAATGTGAGAGATTTAGTGGGGCTTTCCCATTTGGGAACAATAGTGGAAGATTCCAAGAGCCTAGGAATCAGGTTCCCCTGCCCCTCAGCCTGTCCAGTCACCAGGCAAGGGTGGGCCTGGCTATAAGTGAACCCTTGGAGGGGGACACCTCTTACACCCTGCTGTCCTGCTCCCCTACAGCTGCCCAGACCTAGGTTGGGCTCCCCCGTTCTCTATGACTCGGACCGAGCCTGCAGCTTTCAAAGAACAACTGTCAGTGTAATAAATTTTAAAATAAAGGGGCGCCTGGGTGGCTCAGTCGTTAAGTGTCTGCCTTTGGCTTAGGTCATGATCCCAGAGTCCTGGGATCGAGCCCCACATCGGGCTCCCTGATCAGTGGGAAGCCTGCTTCTCCCTCTCCCACTCTGCCTGTTTGTGTTCCCTCTCTCACTGTGTCTCTCTCTGTCAAATAAATAAATAAAATCTTTTAAAATAAATAAATAAATTTTAAAATAAGGTTAGGAAGTGAAAGTAGTAGTCTTGAGGGATGTCTTTTAAAGTTCTTTTTAAGGAATTGTTTGCCGTTTCAGATCCAGGAATCCTGTGCCCTCTAAGTTCACTTCCTTCAGGGTCCAAATTCTGAGCTCTGTAAAAAAACAAAAAGCACCTGGTAGTTCAGGTAAAGGACTTTCTATCATGTTGTGTAAAATTGACAGTCCCCTGTTTACTAACCCCAAGTGATGAATGCAGTTGGTGTTCAGGAGACTGATGGGTCTGACTTTGGTTTGGCCGGTGCTGACCGACTATGTGTGCTCCCTTTGCAGAGTATGTTCCCTTCAAACACAGAAGGCCGGATAGCGGTGACATCTGGCTCTTTCTAACTCTTCCTGATCACCCCTGCTTAAACTGGTGGTTTTCGCCCCTGGAAGGCCAGTCCCAAGCTTTTGAAAGCCAGTGTTCACTTTTTAAAAAATGCAAGTCTGTTTCTCATGGTTTAAAAAAAGCCACAGAGGCCCTCTGTCAAAACACTGGATTCTACCCTCCCTTCTTGTATGTGTGTCCTGTAGGGTTTTCCTTCACTGAGCTTCCTGGAAACAACAAAGACCCAAAATCCAGCTCCGGGTAAATGCATTGTCCATTTTTGGATTGCAGATTGAGGGCCTCAGGCTTTCCCGTGCACCTGCTCCCAGACATCGCCGAGGCCGGCAGCGTGGCGGGCAGAACTTCCCGTGCCTGGTTTGAAATCCCACAGGGGACACGGGTGGGCGTGGCCTTGGGTGATTTACAGGCCTCCGTCTATTCCTGTATGGCCAAAAGGACAGATGCAGGTAAGTCTTTCTTTTGTTGGCTCCTCAGACTTCTACTGGTGCCTCCTAAGCTCCAGCTCTGTGTGAGGGCCCAAGGGGCACCTGTAACCAGCAGCCTCAGCATCCCGTTGATCACTCTTCTGTGAACATGAAAAACAGCCTCCTCCCTGCGGGTGAAGCCCCTCCTGGAGCTTACAATCCAGCAGGGCAAGTTCTGTCCCTGACCACAGTCTGTGTTTTTCTTCTTTAGGGCCAGGTAAGGGAATTGACTCTCTCTAGTTGGCTGATTTCTGCATAACTCCGTGACCCAAAAAGTAGATTAGTAGATTAGGGTTTTTTGTTATTGTGTCTTTGTCAATGGAAGTTCCATCCGATCTGATTAGGAGTGCAGTCTTTCTGCATTCAGGGTAAGAGAGTCACAGTGAGGTGGAGGCCGCAGTCTAGGGCAGGGCTTGGTAAACTTTTTCTGTAAAGGGCCAGATTGTAAATATTTTAGGCTTTGTAAGCCATATAGTTTCTGTCCTCACAACTCAACTCTGCTGAAGCATGAAGCAGCCATAGCTAATACATAAATGAATAGGGGTATAGCTGTGTTTCAATAAAACTTCATTTATAGACACTAAAATACGAATTTCATAACATTTTCATGTGTCATGAAATTTTCTTCTCCTTTTGATTTCTTCTCAACCATTAAAAAATGTAAGAACATGCTACTGGGATTGTAAAATGCTATAGCCCCTTTGGAAAACAGTCTGGCAGTTCCTCAAAAGTGAAACATGGAGTTAGCACCCGACCTAGCATTTCCAGTCCTAGGTGCACACCCAAGAGAACAGGACACATGTCCACACAAACACTTCACAAAGATGTTCTTAGCAGCATTATTCATAAAATTCATAATTTCAAAATTAGCTGAGAGGGAAAAGTGAAATTCTGCCTATTTTGTTTGCACATATATGTGATAAAATCTCTTAAGGCCAACAGTTGTTCAAAACCTTTTCTCCCCAGTTTTTTTTCATACGTCAGCATCCTCCTTTTTTATTTTTTTTATTATGTTCAGTTAGCCACTGTATAGTACATCATTAGTTTTTTTTTATGTTATGTTAATCCCCATACATTACATCATTAGTACGTCATTAGTTTTTGATGATGTAGTGTTCAATGATTCATTAGTTACATATAATACCCAGTGCTCATCACAACCCGTGTCTTCCTCAGTACCCATCACCCTGTTACCCCCTCCCTTCTGAGACCCTCAGTTCATTTTCCTGGGTCCAGAGTCTCTCATGGTTCATCTCCCTCTCTGATTTCTCCCCCTGCAGTTTTCCCTCCCTTCTCTGTAACCCTCTGTGCTATTGCTTATGTTCCACAAATGAGTGAAACTAAAATCAATGCTTCAGGAAAATATGCTAAATTTATTCTGTGACTTAATTTTCCTAATACGGCATCTCTTGCCTATATCCCTTCATCTCAAAGTGTGAATGTCAGGGAACTCACATGGACTTTGGAGTCCATCCCACTGGCCTGGGTGAGAATTTAGCCCCTCTTCTCCTTCGGTGTGACTTTGGACAGGTTGCTTTTTTTTTCCTGAGCCCTTGTCATCATCCAAAATGAAGGCAATGATATGTTTCTCATGGGACAGTTGTGGTGACACACTGGGATGATGCCTATAAAGAGCCTGGCTCTTTCTACCTTGGTAGTTTTCAAATTGTAGGCTGTTCTCTTGACAGAGGGCTGTCCTGTGCCTGGATGTAAATGTGCTTTCTCTATAGTAAGTGAGGGGCTAGTCAAATGGGAAGAAAGTAGGTATCAGGCTCCCTCTTCACTGAGCTGGTTGTAGTCTCTGGTTCCAGACTGGGTCTGCTGGCTGTGCTCACTTGTTCTGTGTCCATGGGCAAAGTTGGGTGGCCTCCGTCCTTGACACCTCCACTTGAGGGGACAGGTGGAGGGCATGTTGCTTCTGGTATAGCGTCATGGTGAAAGGCTTGATGTGGCAGAAAGTAAAGGTTATTGGCTTTCCAAGATTGTTTTCAGTCTCCTTGCTTCCAACCTCCTAGTAGGTAGGAAAGTTACATGCTGATCTCAAGTTATTTCAGACCCCAACAGACTGAGAAGAACAGGCTTTTTGGCCAGGTCTTGTGAGAAATGGAAGAGAAGAGACTTCCAGGGTAGTCCATAGGCCCTGGCCTCAATCCAGAGGAGAAAATCATCCCCTCCGTGCTGAGTCTGGGAGCTTTTCCCCTGCTGGTGGAGGAGGTTAAGAAAAACACCATAGATGTTATGCACAAACAATGAATCATGGAACACTACATCAAAAACTAATGATGTAATATATGGTGATTAACATAACAATAAAAAATTAAAAAAAAAAAGAAAAACACCATGGATATGAGAAGGAGGTGGCACTTGCTGAAAATGAATGAAACCTCCCCAGAAAGTCAAATACTTGGGCTGAGAGAGGTCTTACTATCTGTACATTGTTGTCTATTGCTGTGTAACAAATCACCCCAGTACTTAGTAGCCTAAAGCAGCAAACGTTTATTATCTCTCATAGTGTCTGAGAGTCAGGAATCTGGATGTTGCTGGATGGTCTGGTTTAAGGTCTCTCATGGAATTGCAGTTAAGCTGTTGCTTAGCTGGGTCTGCAGTCATCCAAAGGCATGACCAGGCCTGGTGGATCTACTTCTTAGCTCATTTATGTAGCTTTGGCAGGAGGCCTCAGTTTTTTGCCACATGGACCTCTCCACAGGGCTGCTCATGACATGGTGCCTGCCTCCCCGCAGAGCAAGTGATCCAAGACAGAAGCTGCAGTGCCTTTTTATGACCTGGGCTCCAAAGTCACACAGGGTCACTTCTGCTTTATTTTCTCAATTAGAAGCAAGTCCCCAAGTCCAGCCCACACTCACGGGTTGGGGGAAGTTAGGCTCTACCTCCTGAAAGGAGGAGTCTCAAAGAATTTGAAGACATTTTTTTTTAAACCAGCACACTCTCCCCTTGCCCTACTGTGACCTGTGACCTCTGAGTCAGTCGTACAGGCCTAATTTCTGCTTTCCTTGGACCCCAGTTCTCAACATCAGCACTTCAGTTCAGTTGGCAACCTCCATGCCTTCAGGATTCCAGCCGGCGCAGACTCCAGACCCTGCGGCTCCAGTCACCTACTTCCCGTACTTTGACAGGACCTACCTGGTGGTGGCAGCGTCACTCAATGGGGGCAACGTGCTGGCCACATTTGTCCACACGCTGGTCCAGTGGATGGCGGATCTAGGTAAGGTGTTGCCCACATGGTGATGTGTTCCCCGCTTGTCCTTTCGATGCGGCAGTGTCTTGGTGCTGCCTGTGTTATTTAAGCTTCTAGATTCATGTGTCACACCCAGCCCGGCTCCAGCACATCCCTTCCTTCTTTAGGGATCTGGGCCTGTAGCCTTTTTTGCTGAGGTGCCGTCACCTCTTTTTTTCTGAGGGAGCACCTTTTCCTCTAACATTGACTGGTCTCCTGGCTCTCCCCTGCCCACTGGTTACTTTGTCAGTAGCTCACCATCCCTTTCTGATGACTGCAGAGAGCTGAAAATAAAATGATCAAACATGGATGAGTGAAAAGACTCCTGGTATTTTACAATATTATAAAATCCTTATAGCATTTATTCCTGGCAAGTGGTTCCTGACTCCCTTTCTTGGAAGGGATCCCTGAAAAGTCTGATGCCCTCCTGCTTTCTTCAGGGTAGACTAGATCAGGCCTTTCTCTGCTCTTCATTTGCAGAGAAACATGTAGCCTCCTTCCAGGAGAGGTTCCCTTTCCAAGCCCTTAAGGTAGGAATGAAATTTCTGGTCAACCATGCAGGTCTAGGGAAATCACTGGTCCACCTGTAGGAGCTCTGAATCAGGTCACTCCAGGAAGCTTTCAGTGTAGTAACAAGGTGAGGCATGGGCGGTAGGGAGCACGTGGGAAGCTCAAACTGCTTGTGCAGACAAGTGTTGCTGACCCATGTCAGTGCTTTCCGGCTGGCCAGGGATGTCAGGATTTCAGGGGAATTCTGCCCTCTTGGCTGAGATCCCCTCAGGAATGCGTCATTAAGAGAACAGAACTCTGATTTTGTTTTGCCTTGTGTCAGAAAAGGTTTTCAAGATGCAGAACCAGTCATCAGAACCTTCAGGCAAGCCCTGTATTTAGATACTGTTTTAACTGGTTGGCTCTATCAATTGTTGACTGAGTTGACCTACCGGTCTTATCTTTACGCAGAAGTGACTGTTATTTTTACCCCTGAAAGAGATGGTAATATTATTTAATTTCTCTGTAAGATGCTTTCAAAAAGAAAAGTCCCTTGCATTTTCATGGTTCTTGTTTTGATGAAACTGAGGACTTTGAAGGTTAGTATTGTACGTAATTTAACCTTTTAAGAAATTTCTACAATAACGTCATTTGATTAAAAAATATATAGATGCCGGGGTGCCTGGGTGGCTCAGTCAGTTAAGTGTCTGACTCTTGATTTTGGCCAGGTCATGATCTCAGGGTCCTGGGATCCAGCCCCCCATAGGGCTCTGCACTTGGCATGGAGTCTATTTGAGGATTCTCTCTCTCTCTCCCTCTGCCCCTCCCCCTGCTCACGTGTACTCTCTCCCTCTCTCTAAAATAAATAAATAGGGGTGCCTGGGTGGCTCAGTTGGTTAAGTGTCTAACTCTGGATTTAGGCTCAGGTCATGATCTCAGGGTTGTGGGATCAAGCCCAGCGTCGGGCTCTGTGCTTAGCAGGGAGTGTGCTCAAGATCTCTTTCTCTCTCTCTCTTCCCCTCTGCTCCTCCTCCCTATCTAAAATAAATGAATGAATGAATGAATAAATGAAATAAATCTTTAAAAAATATATAGATGCAAATACAATAAGGTTTGTTGAGATAAGAGACATTACATTTATTAACCAGATATGGAAATATTAAAGCATAAGATATAAAAATAAAACTCTCTATTCAGAATACCCTAGGTTTGCATTATTTTCCAGAAGTTAGGAAACAGGGAGTTCCACCCTCATGCGGTTTAGAGTAGGGACTCTGAAGCTAGGTGGCCTGGGTTTGAATCCCAGCTCTGCCACTTTCTTGTGCTTTGGGGCAGGTTGCTTATCCCCTCTGTTCTTCACTTTCTTCATCTGGAAAGGGATTATCCTAGATCTACCTTAAATAACTGTGGGGATCAAATGAGTTATGTTGCAGAGCACTTAGAATGATGTCTGGCCCATAATAAGTGTGGTATAACTGCTTGTTAAATAAGCATAGTGGTGGTGCAACCTGGGAGAGTGCCTCAGTTCTCAGCTCTGTCAAGTCATTATGTGGCCTTGGCACGTCCCTTCCCTTTGGTGTTTTTTCAGCTCTGATGGCCTGTGGTTCTAAGCCTGTGATGTGAATATTTGGCAACTCATAGCATTTAATCCCCACGGTAGATTTGGATGAGGTGGTAAGCCAAGGGATGCAGAGACAGGGCTAGAAGCCAGGTCTCTGAGGCCTTCAGCTGCTATACTCCTTCCTTCAGGTGCCCCCCAAGGCTGGGGTCATTGTTCAAATGTTTCCCAGTGAGGAAGAACACTTTATTTTAACATTTCCTTAACATCCTTTTGGGAATTTTTATTAAGGACATACAAACACATGGTTTATTGTTTTCTTCTTTTAACTGTAGACTTTCTTTGGGTTTTGACAGTTTTCCACTAATGTCATTTTTCTGTTCTAGGATCCAATTCAGGATACCACATTGCATTTAATCATCATATCTCCAGTCTCTCTGCTTTCTTTTTTTTTTTTTTTTTAAGTTTTTATTTATTTAAGTAATCTCTACACCCAATGTGGGGCTTGAACTCATGACCCTGAGATCAAAAGTCATACGCTCTACCGACTGAGCCAGTCAGGTGGAGCTTTTCTATTTGAAAGCTTTCTATTTGATTGATCTGTTTTTTTTTTCTTTTTCATCTTCTTTCCCTTTTTTTCCCCCATAATTTTATGGCTTTATATTCTTTATTCTTTCAGAAGTTTTCAATGTACTATGTTTCCTAGGATGTGGAGAGATAATCCCTCTTATACACTGCAGTAGTAGTGTAAATTGGTCCAGCTTCTATGGGGCGATTATGATGTGCATATCTTTTGAACCAGCAGTTCTCCAAGGACTCAGTCCTACAGATTTGTATACTTGTACACATGTGCTAGGTTATTCATCAAGCATGTGATTTTTCTGAGATTTTAGTAGAATTTCTAGAGGAAGGGGAAAGACACTAATATTCATTCTGGCTTTTTTTTTTTTTTTTTTTTTTAAGTAGGCTCCATGCCCAACATAGGGCTTGAACTCACAACCCTGAGATCAAGAGTCACACGCTCTACTGACTGAGTCAGTCAGGTGCCTTGATTCTGGCATATTTAACCAGAGTTCTGCTGTTCATATTTTGACTGATACTTAAATTATTTCTCCCTCTTCTCTCTCTCATTCCCAAGTGTGCATAGCTGAGTTTGTATAAGTTAAATGTGCTGCCAATGAGACTTCACGGTGACACTGGGGTGGTGGCTCTCAGCACTGGCTGCACTCTGGAAACACTTGTGAAGTTTTAAAAACAATGTTGATGTCCTAGTCCTGCCTGCAGAATGCTGATGATTTGGCCATGAGGTGGGGTGGGGTAGGCATTTTATAAAAGCTCCTCAGGTGATTGTTATGCCCTTAAGTGTTGGTAAGCACTGGTCTAGAACCTTCTACTTCTTGGGCCAGCAGCACTGGCTTCTCTAGGAGTGCAGAACAACTACAGAATCTTAGGGCCTACCCCAGGCACACAACTATGCTGCCCCCTGGGAATTCTATACTGTCTCAGCCTACAACAAGGGGTGCATGAACTCACACAGGTCTTTTCTGTTCTTGGAAGGTCTAGAGGTCGAAGAATCCACTGTGTATTCATGTATGATCCAGGCAGCTGCACAGCAAAGAGACACCTGCCTAACTATCACTCCAACGGTGTTCGGCGAGAGGCACCTGCCGGACCAGCTGGCCTCAGTGACCAGAATCTCCTCCTCTGATCTCTCCCTGGGGCACGTGACCCGGGCCCTGTGCCGAGGCATTGTTCAAAACTTGCACTCCATGCTTCCATTTCAACAGCTCAAGGAGTGGGGTGTGGAGCGGGTGATTGGCAGTGGGAGTGCACTGTCCAGGAATGAGGTGCTGAAGCAGGAGGTGCAGAGGGCTTTTCCCTTCCCAGTGTCCTTTGGGCAGGATGTGGACGCAGCTGTGGGGGCAGCTGTGGTCATGCTCCAGAGAAATCTTAACCAGAGGGAGTCTTAGTCAGTGCATCCTTTGGCCAAAAGACTGTTGCAAATTTTATCTAAGTAACATTCCTGACATGACCTTGTGGTCATCCTTTTCCTGGACAGTTTTCTGGGCAGCTTTTAAGCAAAGCTTGTTTTCAGGGCACCATCTTGACCAAGAACCTACCTTCATCCTCTAATAATGCAGCCAGGACTCATCAACTAGATCCCAAATCAGTGCTTTCCAAGAGACTCACTTGGGAATTGGTCGCAAATGTAAATATGGAAAAAAGAGAGAGGGACAAAGAAAGAAAAGGAACAGTAGCCCAGCATCATGGTCAGCAGGCTCTTCTGTGATTCACCTGTAGACAAAGAGAAAATAAATGTGACTTCAGACACCAAAAAGTCTCCAAGTAAGAAAAGAAGGCCCACCCACCCCCCACCCCCTGCCGCTCCAGCTTTTGGGATGATTGTATTTTGGGACATAAAGCCCAGACTTCGGTCACATGCGCTGTTGGAAAAGTCCTTCCCTACTGGATTGTACCATGTGTCCCTGCAGTCCCCCTCCCATTCTTGTGTTCCCTTGGCCACAGCTGGTTAGCTGAGGCAGGGCATGGCCCAAGATAATATGGCTTAAAGGCACATAGCAGGGAAGGAAAGGGGGGGGTAGCATGACCAGCGAGGGAGACAGATGCTGCATGGCCCCACCATTCAGGCACATCGTTCCTAAGAGTCTGACCAGGCACCAATAGGACCCCTTTTCAGGGTGTGTCTGGGCAGCAGTGTTTTTGGCCCTGTACATTCTTGGGAATCTTTCCAACAGAGGGATGTGTCTGGGCATGCTCCTGTCAGAGAGGGTGGACAATTTACTCAGAACCCCTTATCCTGCGGCCCTAGCCTTTTTTTCTCTTGGTGTAGGCCTTGCTGGGCCACTATGTGTCCTGGCCTGCAGAAACATCCCCCTAAAGTCAGCATCCCTGCAGGGATCCCAGAGCATCTTAAACCTTCCTGTAGTTGGTAGGCATGAACATGGATGGCATGGCTTCCAGGAGAAAGCCATCATTGCTGCATCTAATTCCAGACTCCCAAGAGTGATCCCAAGGCTCAGGCAGGCCTGACTCTGAGGCACCTGGGCAACTATGAGTCTGGGAAGCAGTCTTGTTGTCTCTTTGTAAATGTCACTTTATGAATCATGTGATTGTCCGAAGCTCTTAGATTAATCTGCCTGGCCATGCTGATTGGATTTTAGATACTAAAGCTCATGCTTCCAGAGCCTTGTACCTTTAATAAGACATACCTGTCTTCTTTGGGATTGTTGTAAATTATGGCATAGCTGCAGAGCTTGGTTTGGGAGGTTGGACACAGCCCTGAGGATCATTTGTAGGTTGTACTATAGAAAACCCCTGCTTGCCCCACAGTTCTGCCAGGACAAGTGGCTGAAGATCACTCAGGAAAGTCATGTGAGTTTTCTCTCAGCTAGAATGAGTCGACACCATTATTTTGGAGCCCCTGTGGCAGGCCTGTGAGAGAGAAGCCACCTTGGAATAGGCCGAAAGGTAACAGCCCTGTCCGTCAGGAGGAATTGGCCCTCCGACTTTGGGGAGGCAGCCTGTCTTGTGTCCTCAGAGTGCTGTGGATGGAGTCTGTCAACATAAGAGGAGAACCTGGATGCAAGGCCAGGAAGCCCAGCCCAGTGCCCAGTGTGGTGCTGGAACTCCCTGTTCCCTTTCCACATGTCCCCTCTATCTCTGAGGGCTGAGGCTTGTGCCGTCCAAGCTTGTCAGCTCAGAGCCCTGCTGCTGTATTTATTGCACCTGGCCTGGGCCTCTGCAGGGGGCTTGAACATAGTTCCCAGGGACTCGTTTTCTTCAGCCTGAAGTCACAAACCACTCACTGCTTTTGCTGTCATTCCTGGAAGGTACCAGTAAGTGTTTGATACCAGCACGATCCTCATATGAGCAACTGGCCTTGAGGACTGCCTGCCCACATCCAGATCTTACAGGCACACGGTAGGCTCACACTTGCCTACCTGATTGCTTTGGCCAGTGAAACGTGAGCAGAAGTGTGCCACTTGTTCTGTGCCTTCAGGCCAGTTGTGTGGGCCTTTAGGAGCCAGTGTGTGATGTGTCACATTCCCTTCCTTTTGCCACCAGTGACTGGTAGTGTCCCAGAGAAGGGCTCTGTCAGCTTGGGTTCCATGTTAGGACAGTGTGGTGGAGAACCCTCACCAACGAATGAGCAACGTGCAGTGTGACTAAGAAATAAACCTTTGATGTTTGAAACCACTGAGATTTGGGGGTTGTTTGTTACCACAGCATAACAGTGTATCCTGACCACTACAGCCACCCTAGAGACCGTACCTAGGCTCAACTGCACCCAGCACAGACTGACACATTTATCAACACCCACTAGGAGCTGGGTTTTCTGTCAGGACAATGATGAGTTGTTGAATTTCCATCACTAGGGAATGAAATAAACACTAGGACAGATTTGTCTGTGTGCAGAAGGAGGAACAATTCATTCTTTATGTAAGTGACACTGAGCTAAACCTTGGAGAGTTTCAGTCCATCAATACCAACAACAGCTAACACTTTTTGAGTACCTGCTTTGTACCAGGAGCTAATCTAAACTCCACTTGTTCGGACCTATTTGATCTTTATGGTGATCCTAGAAGGTGAGTACTATTATCTTCATTTCTCAGATGAAGAAACCGAGACACAAAAATGTTACGTAACCCACCCAGGATCATAACCCTAGGATTCAGCCCCAGGGCCCACTTCCTTCAGTGTTCTGGGCTGAGAGAGCAAATGTGTTGACATGAAAGACTGGCATGAGCAGGGTGTGATGAATTGTCTGGTGTAACTTGGTCATAGGGCATATGAAAGGGTGTGGTAGCACTTGTGACTGGAAATGTCAGCCAAACTGTGAGGGGTCTTGGGTGCCAGATGGCGGGGTTTGGACTTTCTCCTGTGGGCAGTGGAGTGGAGGACAGGCTTCGTGGGCTTCAGAAGTAGAACTGCCAGTGTGCAGACTCTAGATTGGAGAACGGGTGTTGTGGAAGGCAGGGGCCCAGTTGGAGGGGCCTAGAAAGCAGCCTGTGAGACATGGTGGCCCGAACCAGCCTGGGGACAGAGGCTGCCCCCCTTACCCTTCCTTTGGCCCTTGACTATGACTAGATCCATATGTTTATGTGGCTTTCATGTTCTCTATTTTTCTTCTTAACTGGACTGAAAGCTGCTTGAGGGAAGGGTTCCTCTTAAGCTGTTCTCTGATCTGTCCTTCTGCTTAATCTTGGGCTGATGCCCATGTTTGGAATGTCCTCCCGGGGCTGAACATCATACCAAGGCCCAGTTCAAGTGCCATCTTCCTGCTATACAGACTCCCTGGCAGCATATTTCTCACTGGATTATGATTGCAGCTGACATCCGGGACCCCACTCAGTGTTTGCTGTTGGCATGGCATATTGGCTCCTGGCTTGTGCCTGTTACAGGGCCCCCCACCCAGTAAAGTGTCAGAGAGAGCCTAGCAGGTCTTCCTCCTCATGCATCCTGGCCTCCTTGAGGGCAGAGACCAGCTTATTCACCCTACTCAATTGCTGTGGGTTTGCTAGTGCTCAGTGGTCCTTCAGGAAAGAGGGCAGTTTGCACCTGACCTCTTGTCTCAGCCACAGTTAGATGGACAGATCACATCTTTGAAATTGAGAGATTCTGGGTTTAGAGATGCTCACTGTATGAGTCATGAAACATTAAGCAAATCTTGGGTTTTTTTTTTTTTTCATTAAAAAACAATTAGTCACAACCTCAAGCTAATGGCCAGATACAGCTCAACAGTCAGCAGATGCGGTTCTCATTTGAAATAATGATGAGAACCATAATCCCTCATGCCTGCCTAGAGCTTTACCAGCTCACAGAGACCATTCACACCCCGTATCCTTATTAATCCCCCAGAAAAGCCCTGTAAAGCAGGTAGGGCAGGTGCTCTCGCCCATTTTGTGGATGAGGAAGCAGGCCCAGAGCTTCAGCTATCAGCCCAAATTTATGCAGTGGGCGTCTGGCACAGCTGGACCTCCTCTCCCGCCTCCATTCTCTGCCCATGCTCCTGATCTCTTCTCCCTTTTGTTTCCAGCCCCACCCTGGGTCCCAGCTCTGCAGAGCAGGGCTCAGTTTTTGGGTGCTGAGTGGATGCCTCATCCCTCCCTGGCTTAGGTGGCCAGCTCCATTCACTTCTGGAGTGCACTGACCCCTCTCACAGAGCCCTGCCCTCCACAGGAACTGACTCACGTGGGTACCTGTGATGCTAATGCACGGACCAAATGCAGAAAGGAATGTAGGTTTGCTGTTTGCCATCTGCACCTGGGATCCCTGAAACCATTTAAAATCTGGGAGGCAAGACACAAAAATCAGGGAAGTTAAATGTCAACACAAGGTTTAGAAAGCTCAAGACGAGACTAGTAGAGCTGACACTGTCCTTGGGCGGGTGACAGTGTCCTTAACCACTTTCCCTGGGGCTAGAACTAGCACTGCTTGGTTCCTACCCGGTTCCTACCAGAAATGCCAGGCTGACAGTTCCTGATTTGGGTAATCAGGCTTTTTCAGCACATGAGAGTTTGCTGGTTTCTAGCTGTACCAGAAAGTCTGGCTTCAAATTGGTGAGGACCCAGATGGATGAAGAAAATAAATGAGGCTTCTATGGCCAGAGTCAAGGGCTCCATTTAAGTCAATGTGCCCCCTGGTGGTAACACTGGGAGAACTGCAGCTGTTGGTGATGGGTTCCAGCTGACTCCGCCCACCCACTTGCTCGTGTGGCCTCCAGCACCTTCCTCCACTGCCCCTTGTCCCCATCAGACCAGAGCTTGGAATAAGTGCCCCCTCCTAGAATTCATCATTTAAACTCATCATTTACAATTTTGATCTACTTACAAAGAATTTAAATGGGTACATCATTACATAGATTCAAGAACACCCTTAAAGAGTTATGGAAGCTGGGGGCAGGGAGGTGGGAAAGAACACCTTGTTGCACATTATGACCCAGAAAACTAGGCTGATGGCAGCAAAGCTCAATCCTAAGGTGTTGTCTCTGCCACCATTTCATGAGTTTTAGTAGAACCACTCAGTGCAGATTTTGCTCAGATAAGACCACGCCAATAAATATTTACAGTGTGCTACTTTGGGCAAGGCATGGAGCTAGGCTTAGAGAAGGAAAATTGAGGGGACAAGAGCCCTGTCACCCTGAAGCCATTAAAATCTGTGAAATAAGACATAAACATCAGAGAAGTTAAAGCTCAATACAAGCTTTAGGAAGCTTCAGACAAGACTGGTATGGTTGTCACTGTCCTTGGGCGGGTTACGTAGCCTGTCTACAATTCATTTCCTAATCCAAAATCAAACTTTCCTCACGAAACTTTGTGAGAGTTTGATGAGTTAATGCCCAAAGTGCTTACCCCAGAACCTGGCACACTGCATGGGCTTAATAAGCACCCACTGCCATTATTGTTGTCATTGTGATCACATGCACTGGT